ACATCTGGAGCGCCAAAGGTCCCCCACACCTGGTCCACAAGTACATTTGTAAGTTCACCAGCGCAGAAACCTTTTGCTTCTGCTCCTCTGTAAAATGCAGCATACAGTAATCATTGTCACAAAAACCTAAGATTTGTCTGATAAGCATGTATGATAATACACATTGAAGGACACATCCCTTAGATCAGGGTTGGGGAAACTGTGACCTCCATTCGTTGATGGACTCCCAAGTCCCATTAGCCCCAGATGGTGTGGCCCAGTGATCAGAGATGATGTGAGTTGGGAGTCCACCAGCATCTAGAAGGCCACAGCGTTAGGGATGAATTCCTACAATTTTACAAGCAAGCCTTTCCTGCATTCTTGTCAACTGAATCAATATTTTTGTGAAACTGGTATTAGTAGCTTTTCCAGATATCTTCAGGTGCCAGTTTTAGGATAGGAATACGGCTTTTAGCTGTGCCCACAGCTGCTTATTGAACATCAGATTCTAACAATTGTTTCTGGGAGATTTGGGGAAAGCCAGAGATTAAGAAGGTGGGATGCGGGTGGCTCTGTGGTCTAAACCACAGAGCCTAGGACTTGCCGATCGGAAGGTCGGCGGTTCGAATCCCTGCAATGGGGTGAGCTCCCGTTGCTCGGTCCCAGCTCCTGCCAACCTAGCAGTTCAAAAGCACGTCCAAGTGCAAGTAGATAAATAGGTACCGCTCTGGCAGGAAGGTAAACAGCGTTTCCATCCGCTGCTCTGGTTTTGCCAGAAGCAGCTTAGTCATACTGGCCACATGACCCGCAAAAACTGTCTGCGGACAAACATCGGCACCAGTAAAGCAAGATGAGCACCACAACCCCAGAGTCGTTCGCGACTGGACTCAACTGTCAGGGGTCCTTTACCTTTACCTTTTAGAGATTAAGAAAGCCAAGCCCTTTTTATAACTCAGGGGCTTGGTAAGTCAGACAAAAGGTTTTCCATCCCCTACAAGTAGTTTTATGCAATCATAATGGCAAAAGGCATTTTAACCTCCCTCTTTGCAATAAGTTTTTATACGTGCATTACTGTTTTAAACACTGAAAGCATCGACCGGTACACAAATTACAGGAGCCATACAAATAGCAACCTGATTGCAGTACTTCAATGCTCTAGCCCTCTGCTGGATAGCATTTAAAGCGCACAGCTCTGCCTCCAGTGCAGAATCACTTTCACCTCAGAGGACAGGGACCTCTGCCAACTGTAGGGTTTGATTTCAGTCTCCAATGGCACATTGTGATGACATTCATAGGTGCCTGTTTATAGCCAGAAACTAATTAGAGCTCATGCTGCATTACACAGCCTGCATTACGGAATTCTTATGCACAGTAGCAGGAATTGTGTTTAATCTCATTTGGCTTTCTATACTTCTCTTTTCCTGGATATCAGGGCATGTCATTGTTTTTGTTTTTAAAAAGGACAACAACACAGAGATCATTTTTACAATTAGATGAAGACAAGTGTGATGCTAGAAGATAAATTACCTGAACCATTTGTGCTCCTGGATGTCAATGTCCATGCAGGTCTGAAGAACTGGAAATTTTGATTTGTGTATTTTCCCCCCAATGCAATTTTTTTTACTGTGCATTATGTGAAGCATTTATCTGACCACTGGTTTAAGCTTACCCAGGAAGCTTTAAATGAAAAACTTAATGTTAATAGATACCAGGTGTAGTTTGAGAAAAGAAAAACAGCTAAATTCTGGGCTGCAGCTATTAAAACACATAGTAAGTTGACAGCAAAATATATTATCACACTGAATCAATATAAATATTACTATTTTTTGGAAGATTTTGTTTAATTGCTCTACTGTCATGCATAATGTGTGCTTCCCTGAACCACTATAAATTCAGCCAAAAAATGTATTTTTACATCCCTCCAAATGTTTGAGATCAATGTTTCTTCATGGGTGTATGCCACAATTTAGGGGCAAATGAGGGAGGGAAAGCCTCTCCACATCCCATTGTTGCACAAAATGTGTACAGTGGTACCTCTGGATGCGAACGGGATCCGTTCCGGAGCCCCGTTCGCATCCTGAAGCGAACGCAACCTGCCTCTGCGGGTCGCGATTCGCCGCTTCCGTGCATGCGCGTGGCATCATTTTGAGTATCTGCGCATGCACAAGCGGTGAAACCCAGAAGTAACACGTTCCATTATTTCCGGGTCGCCGCGGAGCGTAACCTGAAAATGCTCAACCTGAAGCATATTTAACCCGAGGTATGACTGTACACAGATAGCATGAGAGAGCTGATATTTGAGCCACAAGAGGACATAAATCCTATCCAGGTCTTTGCTTTTGTGCAAACTCTACATGTGAGCAGGGCAACTGGGGAGACGGCAATGTGGGGACAGAGCTTGATGCCCTCATGCTCACTTGTGTATAGGGTTTACACATGACCAGAACACACAAATAGGGCTATCAGGAATAAAATGTGTAAGATCTGAGCCACTAAGAAAAAGCCTATGTATTTAACAAAATTTGAATACCACTTAAGCATAAATGAAATGAAAGGACCACATTTCACCTTGAAATTTTAGGGCCGTAGGATACCTTCCCATACTGTTTAACCGAATCCACTAATCTTTGGCAGGAGTTTCCAGCCACTTGGAATGCATGCAAAACCCCAGCTGATATTTCTATGCCTCTAGTGGAAGCTATCCTTTTCCAGGGGCATTGGAACTACAAAAATGAAATATGTACCCTACTTTTTGCTGTTGGGTTGAATAGACTCTACAAGCAAACTGTCCCAACCACAAAGATCAAACAGAGTCGAAGTTTAAAACTTCATTTTGCCCTCACATAGACCACGGGGAAACCCTTGTTTGCAGTGGCACTAGAAGCTGGGAGAACCCTGATCCAATGTGTGCAGCTATAGCCCATGTGGTAGCAGCTGCATGCTCATGCTGGTAGTGTAGAGGCAGACAGAACCAGCAAGCAGGTGGTGATGCGCCCCATTACTGCACTTCAGCACAGGGAGCTGTACACATGGCAAGATTCTTGCAAACGTTGTTCTCCCCGCGTGTGCTATTGCATGGAGCAAAACCTTCGCAACAGAGGAGGCAGTATCTCGGAAGGCCCTAACTTTCACTGCTGTGTGGCTGTTGCTCTCAAAAGCATGGAAACTGCCAAGCTTCAGAGGTAAAACGAGGCTTTGCTTTTCAAGCAGACTCTTGCAATAGGCCGGATGGAACGCTGACTAGGCATGTGCTGGTGCAGCAAATGACTGTCTGCGTATTGCTGACTTTGTGCCGCGGAGAACATACAGCAGAGGGCACTGGGACCACTCCAGATTTCAGCACTGCATCATTTTGGGAAGTGCTCTTCTAGATATTTCTCACAATGCATGGGACCTTTTTAAGAAAGAAAGAAAGAAAGAAAGAAAGAAAGAAAGAAAGAAAGAATCTCTTTGTGCCAGCATAAAACTGTCAGAAACAACTCAGCCTAGACATCCGATCCAAAGAAACACAGAAAAAGTCTCCTGTCTGTGGAGAGATCATGGGATAAAGATGTTGTCACTTTAAAACTATGGGATGTCAACAGGTGAAAGGAAGGATGACTAGGACTGCAATTCTGCATATACTTACCCAGGAGTAAGTCCATCAGTGAGGCTTACTTCTTAATAGAAATGCATAGGATTCTGCTGTATCTTCAGTCCATGTTTCAAAAACCCCAAACCAAAGCCACCGGAAAAGATTCTCACTTACTTGAATGGATGCGAAAGAGAAATCACAACCTATAAAAGACTTGGCTGTTTCCTTGGCAGTATAGAAAGATGCCATTGGTCATAACCAGGGGCAAATGAGCCCATTCTTGAATGCCTAAGCATCTGACATTAAAAACAACGCAGGAGGAGAGCTTATACATAATAAAATGGCTTTGATCATCTGTTTGATCTGCCTTCCTTATACAAAATGCATGAATGCTGTTATTTTCCCTGAAAGAGCAATATTGACAAGTCATAGTAATGTTTCTGTTCAGAGCACTTTTCTGAAAACATTTTCACAGCGGGGGTTTTGCTCGCTTGCCACAGCCTCTCTAGGCCAGCTCTTGCGATTAATGGTAGCCTTGTTTGTTTGCCTTATTAAATGAGCTGCCAATATATTGTGTGCACATTAATGGGCTCTCCACACTTCCAGCTCCCCTCAGCAGCACCGAGTCCTTTCTAACAGTGTTCAGCCATTAAAATGAACTTCTTGCAAGAGCCAAAGCATTTATTGGCTCAGCCAAGTCAGCTAAGGTATCGATGCCAGTGTCAAGGGAAAATGCTAATCATTTGCCCCACGGGCTAATGTTTTAAAGATGAAGATGCAGGAAGTGTCATGTTTACAAATTGGTTAATTCATTTCAGGCACAATAGATTTTCCATATATATATACACACACACACACACACACACACACACTCCCTTGTTAAAAAGTTGCTATTTCACATTAAAATAGTAATGAAATATAGATGGTTTGTTTTCCTTTGCTTGGTACAAAAACTGCAGAAGGCTTTCTTTCCTTTTGGCAGAATGTTGCTAACAAAGAACAATTGAGGTATTTGGAGGGTGGCAAGGACTAGAACACTGCAGCATGTTAATGAACACCACCACCTTGTGGATTTCTTAGGTAACACAGCCGAACAAATGCTGCTAAGCAAGACTGCAGAACAGCTGCATGACACCTAGACAAAATAAAATAATAATAATAATAATAATAAGATGAAGATGAAGATGAAGAAGAAGAAGAAGAAGAAGAAGTACTTCCTTCAGTTCAGCAGACTCCATGTTGTTTTGTTTGGCAGGGTCAGCAACTAATTCTGTGCACTTTCAAAATGATTTTTTCTGAAGCCAGAAATAGGAATTCAAAGAGTCAGCACACACACACACACACACACACACACACACATTGAAGTGTGATCATAGACTCATAAAATTGTAGAGTTTGAAGGCACCATGAGGGCCATCTAGCCCAATCTCTGCACTGCAGGAATCTTTGCCCAATGTGGGGGTTCAAACCCATGACTCTGAGATTAAAAGTCTCATGCTCTACCAACTGAGCTAACGGCTACAACCTTAATTGTTCTTAGCAAAGAGGGTTTTTCACTTTTCTTCATTTGATACCACTGCTAATCTTAGCTGGTAAGAAACTCACTCCTTTCTTTTATTGATGGGATGACCCACTTCAGATCACAGAAGAGTTCTTACCCAAGTTAAGGCAGTGACAGAGCTTCTATTGCTATCAATGAGGGCATAAGCCTAAAAAGCCAAACACATGTTCCTGGTACAATGCATAAATTGTTAGGCTTGAATCTGGCCCATATTTACTGAATTTCCTGATCAATCATGAGCTTCACTGGTTTCCCCTAAATCTATCTCTCTCAGTCTGACCTACCTATTTTTCTGTTATGATGACCTTTTGACTGGCTACTGACTGATAGGGCTGCTGTTAGCAGGGGGAACTCTCTTTTGCAGGCTATACATTCTGCTTTCTGGTAAGCAGAACCTGGATAAAAGAGGTAGTCTTTGATCATGTGACCCAGAGTTTGTGACAGTGTAATAAGAGTTCTAGTTAGGGATGTGAGTTCAAGCCTTCTTCACACATTATTTAGGAACTGCTTCTCTGTGCTGTAAATTCACAACTAGGGTGGGACGGCAATAGTGGGGTGGTGATGCTGGAATCTACCATTCGCTCTTCCCGCCACACAGTTTCTTTGTCCACATACTGTAGGAAACTGGCTTCTACAGGTGCATTGCAAGGGCATAATTCTGCAGCTGGAATGGGAAATGGCAGTTTAAAGGCATATTGCTTCTGAAGAAGACAGAAGGAGAAAGAAGAGAAAAGAACCAGCAGGCTTTAGAGAAATTCTGACCTTGATTACTTGATTACATAACCTCAATCCTTTGTCTACCTTAATTTGCTTTTTGGATGTTTATTGCAAAAGAGTGAATTACCATTATCCAGCATCTGTTAAGATGGCTTTTATTTCTAAGAGGTTATTCCACAACATCATATGTCAACTATACAGTAGTTGTACTGAGTATTTTGAAAACACTGTAGATTGGAAATTGAAGTGATTAAATCCTTATTGCAAAACAACAACAACATTCCATAAAGCACTGGGTATGTATTTTAAAACAATAGCCACTGAACGAAAACCTACTGTGATTAAACATAAAAGTATATTAGGCACTGGCTGTGTGATGCGGAGTAATTATGCTGCCAAGCCTTTATTTATGCATGAATTGTTCAATAAAAACTCAGAGTCAAGAGCTATCAGTTTCTATCATCCAACTCACTCCATTATGGAAAGAACAGAATGATGGACAGCAAGCATGGGGAAACCTTGGAGCCTCCAGATGCTGCTGGACTCCCCTGTAGCCCAACAATTGGCCAAGTTGGCTGGGGCTGGAGGAAGTTGAAAGCCCAACAGCATCTGCTGCAGAGCAACCACTTCCCCTGGAACTGTTCTTTCCTCCCTCCAGACAAATGGGAACATAGAAATTGCACTTAGGAGGAAACACACAAACACCAATGTCTGTTTTCAAAGATGAGATTCCCGCACTGCCTTCTTCCTCTAGGCAGAATGAACCAATACCACAAAAGAGTTTCACGTCTAAGCTCAGCTTTCAAACCTGGCACTTTTCCAACCATTTTCATTCCTGTCTCTGGGTCTGTCACTGTCCCTTAATTTATAGCCAATAATATCCACTAGTGCAAGTTCCCTTGTGCTTCAATCAGATGGGAAGACTTCATAAAATATCAGTGCTTTAATGATTTCACAAAAGAGTTGTGTTCTCTCTTGGAATCCTTAATCAGATGAAATAGGCCCTGAGGGTGCATCCAGACCGACAGTTGTTTTGCAGGATCTGATACAGTTATTTGCTCAAAGTAGTAAACACAGATTGCACAGTATCTGTTAAGGTTCAGCATTCTAGTTCAGGATTTTTGCATAAAGGTTTATACACTATATTAAACAGATAAAACCTTCCAACAATTGGACAGAAGTTTAATGCCATCCTTCCTTTTCTACCTCTGCTGTTGGAGACAGTATACCTAGTCTGAATATACCAGTTGCTGGGAATCACAAGTGGGATGAGTGCTCTCCTACTCGGGTTCTGCTTGCAGGCTTCCCATTGGGCATCTGACTGGCCATTGTGAGAACAGGACGCTGAACTAGATTTCCCTCGAACTTGAAAATGACTCCTTTCCACATTTTCTTTAGCATTAGAAAAACAATTGTTCTTTGTTGCTTTTGATAGAGAAATATTTAAAACAGGATGATCAGTAAGCCCAGTCATTATATGCTAGTGGCACTGAGGTTCACAACATGGAGTGAGAAATATTTACACTACCACACCTCCTGTCTCATTTCTTATTAGAAATATTGACACACACATACACACCATTTCCCTACCTTCTAAAGCACACATGTTTCTATAACGCCCATCAGTATGCATGCGGGGAGGTCACACAGGGCTTAAGATGTGAGCATCTACCACTGTGGCAAGTGAATTCTTTGTGGCAAGTGAATTCAAAGGCATTATCCAGGTTGCAACCCATATCAAGTCTGGAGGAGGCAGTGAAAGCTGGTCCATTAGGGCAAATGAGGCATCCCTCCACCAAGCACAATCCACCCTCAGCCAGCTCCCACCTGCCTCCTTCCTTACAACTTGTCCACAAGGCAAGCGCCCTCCACCTTAGCCTTTGTAGAGTTCAGCCAATAGGAGGATGGGGACAAAATCAGAATTAGTTGGCTCTGGTTGGCCTCCCTGCCTTTGCCCTACCAGTCCCAAGGCTACCAGGCTCCATAGGGAGCAGGTCCTGAACATGGAACCTGAGACAGATTAAATCAGGATCCAGCCTGTATACCACTACCCAACTTTGGCCAAAGAAGGACAACAAAGAGCCAAACAAGCCTCTTGAACAGCAACATGATACAGCAGGCCTAGCCAGATGATAGTGCCCAGCTTCTATAAATGCTTCTGCTTTAAGTTAACTCTCTTGCGTAACAAGGGAATTCATCTTCCTGATCTTTGTTTGCTACCCTTTGCCTTACTCAAAGAACCATCCGCACTGACTCCTAAGAAAATGCCAGGTCTGACACTTTTGTACTCACAGAAATAAACAGGGTCAACGAAAGCTAACTCAGGACACCATCTACATTCAGCAGACTGAGCAGCCACATTGGGTGCACTCTTCCCCTCTAGGATGAGATGTCTTGTATTTCTATTTAAATAATAATTACTTCTGAACTTGTATCTATACATAAAGATTACCACACACACATGATGCCCATGCATGCACAGCCAATAGACCTAAATATTGCCCGGTGGCTGAAGAATACTATTCCTGGCAACTCTGAAATCACTGGATATAATCATGTGTTTAACTGTAACTATTTATTAAATGATTTAACTGTTTTAGGTTTTGTGGGGGTTTTTTTTAATTGTGGGTGTGTATGTTGCCCTAAACTCCTTTGGGAGGAAGAGTGGGATAATAAGTTCAATATATAAATAATAATAATAATAATTCTTTCAAGGCCTAAGGAGAATCTGAGGCTGTGCCACTCAGCACTGTCTTCTGAAAAATACTAGCTCTCAAATGAGCTTCAGAAAACAATCAATTGCTTGTTTCCATTTGAAGGCTACAGTTGATGCCAGAGAAATGATTCTGGGGTGCCAATGCCTCCAATTGTTTAAAACCCTTAAAAGAACATTTATATTTTTCTAACATAGATAAACATTCAGCTGACTGGCTTCCGTCCATATATTAAACTGCCCTCTAGTGTTTTCTGCTCAGTACTGGAGCAAAATGGCCATAAATATTTAAATAACTGCCGCTCCACGATCAAAGCAATTCATAAGAATAATGGTTTTTAAGAAGACAAATGAAGAACAGCTGAGGGCACTTGAAGTAAAAGTTCACATGCCAGCCAAAAGTGTGCTGTGAGGTGAACTTATGGTGTGTGTCTGCCACAGTCAGGAAGCCACATCACCGGCTTCTTTCTGCGTTTAGCAGGGCTGCCTGCCAAATCACATATTTTATCAACAACGAGAAGTATTATATCCCTCGCAGCAGTTCTCAACCTGCGGGTCCCCAGATGTTGTTGGACTACAACTCCCATCATCCCTGAGCTCTGGCCTTGCTAGCTAGGGGTGATGGGAGTTGTAGTTCAAGAACATCTGGGGACCCACAGGTTGAGAAAGGCTGCCCTAGGGAGCTTGGAGCAGGAAACATGGCCCTCTCCTCCCATTTGACGCTCAAAAAACCCTGTTAGGTAGGCAAAGCTAAGAGACAATGACTGACCTAAGGTCACCCAGTGAGCTTTATGGACGAAGCTCACCGAGTTGAATCCAATGAAGTCACTGCATGAGCGGAATAATGTCCACTCATGCAATAAAGCTTCCCCTCCCTCTTCTCTCCGTGTTCAGTCTGCACACACAGAGAGAGAGAGAGAGAGAGAGGGAGGGAAACGTATCTTCTCTGGTGGATTGGAGGGAAACCCAGAGCAGATCTGGGGTTATGGGATATGCATGGGGAAGAGAGGGAAGGGAATTCTGTTGAGTGAGCAGAAGTTCTCTTCTCTGTGCAATGACGTCACTGGATACAACTCATAGTCTTTCCACTCCTCATCCAAGACTATGACCCAGCCTTTCCCAACCTGCTGCCCTCCAGACGTTTTGGACTGAACATCCACTAACCACTACAGCACACTGGATGTCTTTTATCACACTGCTCTATCCATACTGTGCAAAGTCAAAATGGCAGCTGCTTGACTTGGTGGATCCCTTATGGCAGGGTGTTCCTGGTCGATCTCCCAGTCGATTGTGTGATCCTGATGGATCCCCACGCCCCCCCCCCAAAAAACAAAAGCTCAACAACTTTGGTGAAGGCTCCCCCAAAAAAGCTCAACAAATTTGGTCAATCCAATGATGGATAGATCACTGGCAGTGTTTTTAAAGGGGGAGTAGATCGCAGTCTCTTGGAAGTTGGACAACCCTGCCTTATGGTGTCAGCCAGTGTGCACAGATTGGTCAAGAGCTAGAAAGCAAAGTATCCATCATA